GGCTTCTCTGGAATGAAGGAATTCCCTGGTATGGATGGCGGAGACACAACCAGGGCAGGAGGGAGCAGTCAGAAAGCAAAGGGAGCTCTCTCCAAAGCTGCCTCCCCATGGTGCCTTTAAAAAGCCCGAGCTATTTCCTCCCCTCTCCCTCCTCCACTTTTAGCCCTAGATCTTTTTTCTCCATGTCAAGCCCACACTAGAAAGACAGCGCTGGGCAGGACCTCACCTGGATGTCCTGGATCATGATGCTGTAAGCAAGGCCATGAGACTCCAGGTAAGCTTTGACGTCTGTCAATTCAGAGAAAGGAATTCTCACGTCCACAGGGAGGCCGGGCCTGGCCGGGCGACGCCAGAAGTCCACCTTGTCCACAGAGGAAAGAAATGGGGGTGCATTTATGTCATGTGCTTACACACAACCCTGTAGGCGCCCTGGAAAAGCAGGTGATCTTCTCTTACAGAGATAAAGGGGCCCCAGTTCCATAATGGAAACCCTAAGGCAAAGCAGACAGATGGACAAAAACAAAAAATCCCCAAAGCATTGAGTTTCCGTCCCTAATTTGGGGCTCTTTCATCACCCAGGCTCACACTGCAACTTTGTCCAGATCCAAAGGACCCAAAACGGTTGCTGAAAGTGAGACAGCTCCTCGTGTGGGACATTAACATGGACAAGAACCCTGGTCAGAAGACAGAGACATCGCTGCCNAAACGGTTGCTGAAAGTGAGACAGCTCCTCGTGTGGGACATTAACATGGACAAGAACCCTGGTCAGAAGACAGAGACACCGCTGCCCACAAACCTAATGAAGTAGGAGCGGCCTAACCTAGAGTCAGTCCCAGGTCGTCCCAATGTTACGNCTAATGAAGTAGGAGCGGCCTAACCTAGAGTCAGTCCCAGGTTGTCCGAATGTTACATCCGTTTTTGACTTTATAAAATGGAGAGAATTACTCTAAGGACTCTGAGAGCTGGTTGATGGGGACACTCCTGCAAATAGGAACAAGGACTCTGGGCCACATCCAGAAATATCTGGTTGTTTCAACAGCCCTCAAACAAAATCCTTCTATTATAATAGTTGAAGGAAATGTTTTCCACTGTGGAATACTTGCAGAGGACAAATGTTCTTGGAAACAAACGCTCAGGCTGACAGGGACGAACCCAAATAAAACACAGGTTTGCCAAGCCAAGCCCTTCCAGTCCTTTCAATTGGCAAACAGATGTGTCCAGTCTGCGTGCTGCATGGCATCCCACCCAGAGACACATGTGTCCCCTGCCCCCTGTGGCCTCAGGACATTTCAGCTGTTTTCAGAGCAGCCCTGACAGGGTCCCCTCAGCAGCCCCCCATCCAGGACAGAGGGGAAAGCCAGCAAGAGCTGCCCAGCCTTCTGGGCAAATGTTCCCAACCTTTCCTGAAGAGGAGCCACAGCTGATTTTTCCACAGTTGTGTGATCTTTGGCACAGCCATCAGAGAGCAGGTTTGGGGAGGGGGAGAGCAGGACAGATTGCCAAAGGTGCAAGCCACTGTGAAGAGGGGAAAACGTGTCTCCAAGCCCTGAGGAGTCCTCACCTTCTGGGGCTTCATGCCCTCCAAATCCCTGAGAAGTGAAAGCTGCTTCTCATTTTTAGCCAGGACTCGAAGAACCTGGTCTCTGGAAAGACACAGGGAGGGGCAGAGGGAGCTGCTGAGTCACAGATTCCTGGAAGGCTGTGCTGCTTGGAGGAGGCAGCGTGGAGAAGACACCAGGCTGAGGGGACCTGGTAGGAAGGCTGCGAGGCACCTGGTCACGGGGAGGCTGAAGGACTGAGCAGAAGGACTTGTAGCTCTGGGAGGCGTGCAAGCCCTCGTCCTGGGGCCAGCAATCTCTGCAGCCCCGAGAACAGACCACCCAGTGGACTAAATAAAACCTGTCAGTGTTACTAATGAACCCAAGGACAAGACAGGGAGAGAAAGACGGGGAAGGAATGTGGGGGACAGAGAAAGGTGCAAGAGCAAGAGGAATGAAAGGGAGAAAGGAACAGATACTGGGATTATGGGGACAGGTGACAGCCCCAAGTGTTCTTCATGCAACTGACCCAGGGTCATGGTCTGTCCCTCTACTGCGGGATCTTTGGGAGGCTGAGAAACCATGTCCTGACTGGCCTGGTGCATAATACTGGTGCTTGTTATTTAAAGGAGTATAATACTACATCCATCTGTGGTGGGGTGAGTAGTCTTTTGGGGGGTTATTAACTTCTTTAAGAATCAGGAAAGCTATGAACCCTTCCTCCAGAAAAGAAATACATACACAGCCGGTGTGTTCAGTGGTTAGAGCGTCGGCCTGCGTACCCAAGGGTCGTGGGTTCAATTCCAGATCAAGGGCACATACCTGGGTTACAGGTTTGATCCCAGGCTCTGCTGGGGTTGTGCAGGATATGTCTCTCCTATTGATGTCTCTCTCTCTTTCTCTCCCCCCCCTTCCACTCTCTCTAAAAAAAAAAAACCAATGGAAAAAAATATCTTCGGGTAAGGATTAACAACAACAACATAAATAAATACATACACANTCTCTCTAAAAAAAAAAAACCAATGGAAAAAAATATCTTCGGGTAAGGATTAACAACAACAACATAAATAAATAAATACATACACAAAAAATTTATGTATGATATCAGAGGGTTCTTAGAGCCCTAAAAGCTTACCCAAGAACACTAGGTTAAGAATTCTGGGTTTGGGAGGGACAACAATACAGCTGTGTCCTACCCTGGAGCATGGGAGTGGGAGATTACAGAGCTAGAAGTGGGTTCAGGATGAGAACCGAAGTCCTGACTCTCTACGCCTTGATCAGGTCCCAGCAGGATAGCCACCTCCCCAATGGGACACCCAGGTCCCGAGCTCCTGGCAGCCCTCCCTTCTGCTACGGAGCAGCCACTCACCCTGTGAAATTCATTTGGCCCAAAGCTGTTGCCAGGATGAAGCTACAGCCCAGGAGTGTCAGTCTGTCCACAGCACACAGCCCAGAACCCAAGCCTCCTCCGAGGGTGCCCTGCATGCTTCTTTCTCCAGGCGGGCTTCAGGGGCTTGCCTCACGCACAGGCATGGCCAGGGCCTCAGGACAGCACAGCACCTAAAGGCCGGCAGGTCCGGCCTGAGAATAGCCATGGGGTTAGGTCTCCCTGGGGAGGCCCAGTGTGTGACTCCCACGCCCTGGCTTTGGGAGCGCTAGGGCCCCCCCCTCCCCACTTCTAGACACATCCTCTCCTGGTAAGGGGAAAGGAAAGAGAGAGAGAGGAAGACAAGGCCCTTAGCTTTCTCTCTTCCCTGGAAGTTTACTGGGCCAGCATCTTGTAAACATCAAATCTTGGAAGAAAGATAAGAGTAACCAGAGACCCACGGGAATCAGGCCTTTCCTCCTTCCTCATTTAATTCTTTCCTTTTTGCTCTCCTCTCCCTCCTCACCTGCTCACACCTTCCCTGGGCCATACCCTTGTTACACAGAAGGGTGTGAAAGCCATAGAAAGAACGCTGGTCTTTTCTTTGTCTTAGAGACAAAGAACTGGTGCTCACTTCCTGTCTAAAACATCTGGGGCAATTCACCTATTCTGTCTAAATCTCAGTTTACTCATCAGTCAAATGGGTTTAATGACACCCTACCTCACAGGTTGTGGGAGGGGGGGTTAAAAGAAACAACTTGGGTGAATTGGCTCAGCAAAGCCTTCAAAATGGAATGTATTATTATGTCAAAGGCCTTAACTCTTAGTCACAGCTGCATCTTAGGTCAGTACCCCGATTGCAACGGAGAAGGGGAAGAAGGGAACGGAGAGGGGAACAAAGGAAATCTATTGTGCGGGAAGGAATTCAGGGAAGAGTCCCTCTTCTCGGCCTTCAGGTGGTCCCCATTATGCTGGGGGAGGCAGGGAGTTTTCTGCTGGCCAGGAAGGTCCCCGCAATCATTATTATAGTTCTCAACAGAGGGCAGAGTCCATTTCTCGGGCCTGCTAAAGCCCGGCGCAGCCCCCTTTATGGTCTGGCAGTGGCAGGAATAAAGCTGAGGCGGGCGCACAAAGCAGTCGTGTTGGAAGCAGAGGCTGCAAGGTGCTGCCTGAATGGTACATGAGTCTAACGGACAAGCCGCAGGAGGCGGGGGGAGGCAGAGACTAGCCCCAGCCAAGTTGCTCAGCAGAGGATGTCAACAAAAGGCCACTTAGCTGTCACCGGCGATTCTCAGAAGCCCCCCTCCCCAGCCGTACCTTCCCAGAATGGCCAATGAGCTGGCCCTGTGTGCAGAGAAGGGAGCTCTTTTCTAGACAGAACGCCCCGCTCCCACACCCCGCTGTACCTACTCCATTATTTCGTGGGTCAGCCGCTCAGACACGCCAAACTCTCCTAGAACCCCGGCCTTGGGAACTCTCAGAGAGAAGCATTAGCCGAGGGTTGAAAGGACCTAAAAAGAAAGCAATTACGCTTTCCACCCGAGTAACATGCAGGGTTAGGAGAAATAGGAATAAAAGAATGTCTTAGTAAACAATAGTTCAAAGAAAAAAGTGGGGATGGTGCTAGTCACCCAAAGTACCCAGCGTCTTCTTGTTCAAAAGCATCATTTTAAGACACTGAGGCTAAGACATCTATCCCTGTGCTTGGTTTGGGGCTGGGGGGAGAGAGAGCAAGAGCGAGAGAGAAAGAGAGAGAGGGGGCAGCTAAGCATTCAGAATTCTATGACCACTTCCAGTAGAACTTGCTGTGATAATGGAAATGTTCTAAGTCTTCACTGTCCAATAGGATAGCCACTAGCCACTAGCCACTGAATTTTTTATTTTATTTATTTTAATTCATTGAAGTAGCCACAGGTGGTAATGGCTACGTATTCACAGCACAGTTCTACAGGAATTCACCAGCCCGAAAACACTGCCTCCAATGGCTGGATTTGAAGCAGAGACTCATAGCAGTGTTTGCTCTAATACCTAATATTGTCATCTCCCTCAAAATTAATTACTCATTTCATCATTTATTCAATAAATGTCTACTGAATACCTACTATGTGCCAGGGACTAGCTAAGATCTAGGAATGAAATAGTGATACAAACCTGGCCCTTTGACTTCTAATGGGGTAAGTAGAAAATTAAAGTAAAGCATATACAAATAAATAGAAACATGTAGCTGGTATATGTGCTGCAAGGGGAAGGTCCAATGTGCCGAGAGGACAGGTGACATGGATTCCATAAAAACTGAAGAGACAGGGAGAGTTTCCCTGAAGAAGTTTTGACGGAATACTTTTATCTCCTGCAGGTGGGTAGAGTCGATAGATACCTAAACACTCCTGCTCAAATGAAACTAAAACGCAGGATAAGGTATTTTAAATAATTTTTTTAATGTATCACTCAGTTGCATGAAAATAAGACTGCAGATCCCAAAAAGGAGTATAAATAAGACACCTGAGCCCTGGCCGGGTGGCTCAGCTGGTTGGGCATTGTCCAAAAGGTTGCAGGTTCGAACATCAGTCAGGGCACATACCTAGGTTGCTGGTTCGATCCCTGCTCTGGGCACTTATGGGAGGCAACTGATAAATGCTTCTCTCTCACATCAATGTTTTTTCTCTCTCTCCCCTCTCCTCTCTCTCTCTCTAAAAATCAGTGAAAACATATCATTGGGCAAGGATTAAAATAATAATAGTAATAAATCAGATACCTGAGAGGTAGGCAAATTTTCTCCCTGAAGATTTCACTGAGCCCTTTCCTCCTAGAAGAATATACCTGGTATTTGGGATCATTTACTTTCTGCTTGATGTGTGCCTTTTAAAACATTCCTTGAGTGAAGTTCTCTGTTTTTATTTGTCTGAAAATTCTTTATTTTGCTCGGTTTCAATTCTAGGTTATTATTTTTCTCTGGGCAGGTTGAAAATGCCCCACCATCTTCTGGCTTCCGTTTTTTACTGTCAAAAGGTAATCATTGGTCCATTTACTGTTTTTTAGTAGGTGATCTTTTCTTATCCCTGGTTGTTTTGAAGATCTCTTTGTCTTTGATGTTGTGCAGTTTTATCTTCATGTATTCTTCAGATACACTACAGTGTGTCTAGGTAGATATTTCTTTGAGTTTATTCTGCTTGAGTTTTATTTAGATTTATTTATATATATAGTTTTAATTCTCACCCAAGGATATTTTTTCCATTGTTTTTTCAGAGACAGTGGAAGGGGGATAGAGAGAGAAACATCGATGTGAGAGAGACACATTGATTGGTTGTCTCCAGAACACACCCCGACCGGATACATGCCCTTGACTAGGAATCAAACCTGAAACTTCAGTGCTCGAGCTGACACTCTAACCACTGAGCCACACTGGCCAGGGCCAAATATTTGTTTCTTTATTCCAGTTAACTGATTCTCCCATCAACTGAGTTTAATCTGTAATTTAATCAATCTGCTAAATTTTAAATTTCAGTTTCTATAGTTCATCAATTCTGAAACTATTTTCCCCCACATTTTAATATCTCTGAAATTAGAGTGCATCTTATAATCAGTGGCATCTTGCGATGATAGTTGGCAGTGTTTCTGATGGCACATAAAATTGGTGCATCTTACAGTCAGTTGTGTTTTATAGTCAACACAATATGGTATACATTTTTACAAGTTCTATTTTATTTTTTTCCAAGCTCAAATGACTTAAATTCCT